ACGACTTTGATACCGACAAATCGGAAACCGGTTCCATTGCTGAAAGCGATTGTGGTTCTGTTGATATTTATGGTGACGAACCCAGCCGTTCTCGCCCCAATCTTTCATTCAGAGCTTATTATCGTTATCGCTTTGGAATTCGGTACCCGGAAAATGAACATTATCATCATATTTGGAGTACTGGTGGCGGATTGGGACAAAAATTTGCTCTTGATATTGCTGCTAGAATTGATTCGCAAGTATTTGAATACTTACGTCAGCCAGATATGGATTTAAGATGTGAAGTTGTGCCTGAACTTTTAGACTATTTTGCTAAGCATGCTGGCAAATCCTCCGCAGACAAAGTAGGACATGTAGTTCTCTTTAGAAGTTATATGCCTGGCTTCAGGGCATACTTTAAGAAAAATTATAAATCTGCGTGCACGATTATTAATCGTAAACGCAAGCGAGGATGCGCCATGTTTATGTTCACGTTCACTTCGAATCCAAACTGGCCTGAAATGCAAAATGAACTTTACCCCAACGGTCAAGCATTGATTGATCGTCCTGACATTGTCATGCGTTTTTACGCAGATAAAGTTAGGGAGGTACATAACGACTTGAATGCAAAGCAAATTTTTGGCAAGCAATTGGGGTATGCCGAGAGCATGGAATTCCAGAAAAGGGGTGGTCCTCACTTTCACAGAGTGATGGCTACTGATATTCCTGCTATACCGGAGATTATTGAAGGTTACATTCTTGCCCATATTCCGCCACTGCCAGATAAGGATGATAAAAGCCCACGAGCCGAAGGTGAAAGACGCCTTCGAGATCTTGTAATAAAACATCAGCTTCATGATTGTAAGCCTGAGTTTTGCGGAAAAAGGAATAAAAATGGGAAATGCTCTAAGTTTTTCCCTTATGACTATTCGAACAAAACTATACTCTATGACGACCAGCCAGCCGTCCATTATCGACCAAGTCCCGAGGATGGGGGTGAAAAAGTATTGATACCGAAGGGTGGGGTGCTCACTGAGTATACCAATGCTCACGTGACGCCGTACAATCCGTTTATCCTACTGAAATATAAAACACACCATAATGTAGCATATTGCTACGGTGAAAAAACCAATATGAAATATACTATGAAGTACCCATTAAAGGGACCCACCTTTCAATACATCCAAGTCCAAGGTGACATGGTCGATATTGACGAGCCTGCGCATTATGCTCAGATGTACTATCGCTCTGCTAATGAAGCATATGCAAGAATCCATTCAATGCCTTACGTACGACTTTCCAACACAGTTTATGACATGGAAATACACTTGCCAGGTCATCAAAATGTTGTTTTTAAGCAAAGTCAAGCTGCAGCAGTTGCTGCTGGACTACCAAAAAATTTACCTAAAACCATGCTCACGGAGTACTGGTCTCAATGGCGAGAAGGAAAGTCGTGGCAATATATTAATAAGAAATGGAAACTTGAAGATGATGCTTCAATAACGACTACGCTTTACGAACATATGCCAGAAAATTATTGGTTTGATAAGCATGACAAAATGTGGAAAAAAAGAATTAATAATCGAGATGTAATTGGACTAATCCATCCAAGGCCATCTCCTCGGGATCAAGAGAGGTTTGCACTGTACCTACTTCTCCGCCATTTTCCTGGCGATCCCGAGGCATTAAAGGACGTTAACGGAGTAATGTGCACAACTTTTGTTGAGTCTGCCAGATTGAGAGGTCTGCTTTCTGACGATTCTGTATGGGAAAGGACTTTGGAGGAGGCCTCGCATTTCAGCACAGCCAGTGCAATGCGATACCTGTTTGTACAGGTTTTGGTCTTTGGAAATCCGAGCAATGCTCGCGAATTATGGGAAAGATTTGTGGATCACATGTTCAAGCCAATAATAGGCAATGATCCAAACGGGATTGAAAGAAACAGACGTATTGATCGGGTATTGGCCATCATAGAAGCACAACTCTCGGACTATGGAATGACAAACCAACAATTTGGACTGGATTCTCCATCCCCCGGGATGCGACAAGACGTTGACGACGCACTTGATAACTTCTTCTTTGGAGACAAAGATGAAGATGACTTTGCAAGCGGTAACAAGCCACCGATAAAGCTCAATGACGACCAAGAAAATGTTTGGACTTCCGTTCAAAATGCTATCAACGGAACTTCATTCAACACCATCTTTGTAACAGGAGATGGTGGAACTGGAAAGACTTATTTGTTTAACGCAGTAATTTCGCGTCTAAGAGACATGCGCATCCGTGTAATTGCTTCGGCTTATACAGGCTGCGCAGCGACACTTTTGACTGGTGGTGCTACCGTTCATTCGGTATTTAGGTTTGGAATAAACATTGATGAAAATTACACCCCGTCAGTGTCAATGCAAAGCTATCACGGAAGGCGAATCAGAGACAGCCAAGTTATAATTATAGATGAAGTTTCTATGCTTCCTAAGCATATGTTGGAGGCAATTGATCGGGTCTGTAAACAAATGTGCCCACCAGAAATGAAACATATTCCATTCGGCGGAAAGGTTATAATCCTCAGCGGAGACTTCAAGCAATCACTTCCTGTGGTTGCTGGAGGTGGTATGCGAGATCAAGTCAACGCCTGTATACAGTCTTCACATTTGTGGCCGCTCTTTAGACAGAACATTATAACGCTGAACATTAATATGCGTCAGGGACAGAATGAAATTCAATTCACTGATTGGCTGCGTACAATTGGAATCGGCAAATTAAACGGAAAAGTAAATAAGGAAGTGGAGATAGAAAGTAGAAATATTGTGGGTTCGCGCCAAGAGTTGATGAATTTTGTCACTGACAACGGCCAAGCTCTTTCGAATCCGAAAGAGCTCATTAACAGACTGATCTTAGCGCCACATAATGACACAGTGAATGTGATTAATGAAGACATGCTGAAAAAGATTACGACCAAGGAAAAGATTTATTTATCAACGGACGAATCGATCGTTGACGAATCGCCAATGGATATTGATGAATGCGAGAACGATATTGAAGCTTTGAATTTACTAAATCCTGCTTCAATACCACCACACCGGTTACACCTTAAAGAAGGTTGCATTGTAATTCTTTTAAAGAATTTGGGAGTTAGTAGAGGGCTTGTCAATGGGACAAGAATGATTGTAAAGGAATTAGGAGATAATATTTTGAAGGTTGAGGTTGTAACCGGTTCTGTGGCTGGATCCGGCAATATTATATGCCTTTCACGTGTATGGTGTGATTATGAAGACAAAGAACCAGATGGAGTTAAGTTCAGACGGTTGCAGTTTCCAGTTCGTCTTGCATACGCAATGACGATCATGAAGGCCCAAGGCCAGACTGCAACACGAGTCGGACTCGACCTTACACATCAAGTGTTTGGTCATGGAAATCTTTATACAGCTCTTTCGAGAGTTCGTACCGCTGATTCTTTCAAAGTCTTTGCACCACACGTCACTGAAAAGGAAAAAACAAAGAATAAAATGATAAAGAATGTTGTCGCCGATGGCTTAGAATTCTTCTAATGCCTTAATGAAAACACGGACATGAATTACACACGGACATGATTAATTACACAACGCTATGACACTGGCCTGGACATTTATGTTCTGAGCCTTCGCCAATTTATGCTTTACAAACGCCTATGGCGTATAGTTACTCTTCTTCTTAGCCTCTAAGACGCCTATGGCGTATGTTTACTTGATCATAAGCCTCTCGGTCGCCGATGGCGGTAGGAATACTTGTAAATAGTGTAAATAATTTTAAAAAATAAAAATACAAAAAAAATTCTTATACCAAAAAAAATTAAAAAATATAAAAACATTTCTTAAGAGTTCCAAAAATAAAATTAAAAAGGAAAAAAATTTTCTTATTCTAAAAAAATTAAAAAATTAAAAAAAAATTCTTAAGCCAAGGTGTACAAGGTCTTCCACACCTGACAGGCCTCCACGTGGCCGTACACCGGTAACTCCTGCTATAAAGGCTGTTGTGGGCCATGCAGTTGAGGCTAACCATAAAGGGCACAACACTTTTATGGAGTCTAAGTGGCTTCCAAACTTATTGTTATTTTTGGAGCAAGAAATTTTTGGCTCAATGTTTGAATGAATATACTTTTTCCGCAATCAGAAGACGCTCAAATCTTCAAAAAAACTCTATCCGACTATAGATTTTAAGCAAATTTTAAAGTTATATGCCATGTAGAAAATCTGTACTATCAGAGAAAAATATCAGAGAAAATCTTTTCTATATTTTGAGCCATTTCTATAAGTCTCAAATAGAACTCTGTCAAAGTAAATATTTTTTTAAAGATCAAAAGACGCTCTAAACGAATTCAACTCAATTTAACGTACATCTTCAAGCCAAAAATTAATCTAGCGTCCTTTTAAAGCCGCAGGCTTTCCACGCGCGTCCCTGGACGCGCCCCCAAAACGACTTCTATAAAAAATGTAACCAAACGCTCCCCCCAGCGTAACCAAACCCAAAAGCTACACGCCCATTCAGCTACTCACCCTGCAGCTAGTTATTCTCTATAATATTTATTAAATAGTAAATATTTATTAAATTTTAAAAAGCTTTAACCTTATAAATGATCTCTTTCTTTTACAATGTTTAGTTAAAAATCTAATTGTCGTAACAGTTCTATACGATTAAGTATAACCCCTAGATTTCAAAAAGGACAAGAAAATTAACACAAATAAAAATCTTTATTTACTTCAATAAATATATATAATCAATTATAAGCGACAGTTTTTATTCTGTGTAAAAGTTTAAACAAGTATAAGCTAGAAAAGCGTGAATGAGAATAAGCTAGAAAAGAGTGAATGAGAATAAGCTAGGTGAATCAAAAGTAATTTTATTTTATAGGCCTTTCAAAGGAATTGGTAAAAATACTTTTATCTTTAAAAAGAATCTTTGTATGGGAAAATTAATTTTAAATGAAAAATATGATTAAGAAAACCCAACAAAATAATAAGTTTTAACTCGGATACGACATTCCCCTAACGAGGAATGAACATCTTGAAATAATTGTAGGGATCAGCAATTTTAGACTTAAAAGCCATAAATTTCCAAGACAGCGGTTTTCCTTTCCTACAATGGAGAGGCATTTTAATAATACGACCTGTCTGGCTAATACGAACACGTGAAATTAGTTTCGGTAATTTGATTTCTTCATTTTCCATAACAATAAATTCTGGAGGAATTTCACAGTTGTCGTTTGTTTGAGTGGAAGTGGTGACTTGAGTAGTTGCGACTGGAATTATTGGTGGTGTCAGCACCTCATAAAGAATTTCGTTTTCATCTGGTGGAAGTGGTGGCTCGTCGAGGCAAACGTCTTCCTCTTCGTTGTTTTGTGCACCAACAAGAACTGGAATTGACGTGCCAAGTTGTTGTTGTTCCGGAGGCGGGGGAGGCGGGGTGTCCAAAACAATCCTTTCTTCATGTTGAGCACCAAACAAAAGCGGGGTTGCGCCACCTGAAATTTTTGAAAAAAAGAAAAGAATTAATTAATGTTACCGAAATTTCCATTATTATTAATTTCGAGGGATTCAATAGGATTGGGAGCAATTTTTGCATTTTCAATAAGATTATTTGAAGAATTAATAGAATTTTCAATAAGGGCGTAAGAATTATTGTTGGCCAAATAAATGTTGGCATTTAAGTCGTTAGAAGAAGAAGTACTCGAGTTAATGGGTTTCTTTATTTTCGTAATAGTTGGCTCCATTTTTTTGGTTTTTGGAGAAATACGTAAGTGGGATAAAATAAGACTAATGTCCTTTTTGCCGACGGGCCTTCTTTTAGGCATGGACTAAAAAATATTTAATTACGAGCCAAAGGTGGATCTGAGCGATTAATAAGTTCTCGAACGGCCGAATTAATTTCGGTAAGTTCTATTGGAGGTGGAACAATAGGAGCCGTATTCGGCTTAAAATATTTGTAGATGTTAAATAAAACCTTCAAAAGAAGGAAAATTAAAATCAAGCTCAAAAGGCCTATGATAGAGAGAATAGGAAGAGCAATCTCTGGTTCTTTTTGAAGAAAGGAGGCTAGTGTATCCAAACCAAAGTAAAGAGCAGTGGTTCCAACTAAAGATCCAATTCCCTTCGAAATTGGCTTTTTAAGACGATTAACAACGTATTTACCCTTACTACGACTTTCGACAGGCGTAGGACTTATCAAAAGAAATATTATTAAAAGAGCGATAATAGGGGCTACTCGAGCCGATCTACGTTTCTGAAGAAGGTAATATGAGAAAATTATACAAATTAAAAGTATTGCTATCAGAACAATAGAAGCGATAAGAATAGTCCACGGAAAGGGTTCCGGTGGAGGTGGTTCGGGCTTAAACAAATTTAAATCAATAGGCAGTTGTATATTGATAATATTACCCATAAGAGGGATCAATTTTCTAAAGAATTTTTTAAAAGGTGAGAGCTTTTTTGTAAGCTAAAACTTTAATGAACAATAAGAATGAACGATTAAGGAGAGGCGATAATGCTTTATAAGAAAGATCGCGGAGCGCCCTCCCCCTTTAACAATTTTTATTTACTATTCTATTACGAAGTTTTAAAGTGTTGGGACTAGAGTTTGGTCTAGGCGACGTTAAAGGAATTTTCTCTGTCTGATTTTTATCAACATTCAATTCTCCAGTCGTTTCAAGTGGATATAAGTGATGGATTGAGCGGAGTGTAATATTTCCGCTGAGAAATTTTATTTTAGCGGTGTTTGGAAAATGATTCTCAGTGTAATTAATTTCTAAAATTATGGCCAAAGACCAATTCGATCTTGGTAAAGTGTCACTGTGTACAATTACTAATTCGTTTATGCTAGGCCATCTTTGAGAGGATGGTTGTAATTTTTTATATCGTTCTCTAAGCGAAAGGATATAGTCCGTTTTCCAACGGATCCAAAAGTTTTTTGCCCTGGAAGAGATTTTTTCCCAGGTTGTGATTAAAGATTGACTATTAGATTGAATATTTGGATCGTAATCTGGATCATCCATCTTTTCCGATGGTGTAATTTCTATGGGAGAATTATTACGGTATGGTTTAATAATATCCGCAGGACTCAAAGCCCTCGGTTCCAATGGATTTGCAGACTCAAATGTGATGGGCCTACTGTTAATTATATTTTCAATTTCCAACTAGCTGCAGGGTGAGTAGCTGAATGGGCGTGTAGCTTTTGGGTTTGGTTACGCTGGGGGGAGCGTTTGGTTACATTTTTTATAGAAGTCGTTTTGGGGGCGCGTCCAGGGACGCGCGTGGAAAGCCTGCGGCTTTAAAAGGACGCTAGATTAATTTTTGGCTTGAAGATGTACGTTAAATTGAGTTGAATTCGTTTAGAGCGTCTTTTGATCTTTAAAAAAATATTTACTTTGACAGAGTTCTATTTGAGACTTATAGAAATGGCTCAAAATATAGAAAAGATTTTCTCTGATATTTTTCTCTGATAGTACAGATTTTCTACATGGCATATAACTTTAAAATTTGCTTAAAATCTATAGTCGGATAGAGTTTTTTTGAAGATTTGAGCGTCTTCTGATTGCGGAAAAAGTATATTCATTCAAACATTGAGCCAAAAATTTCTTGCTCCAAAAATAACAATAAGTTTGGAAGCCACTTAGACTCCATAAAAGTGTTGTGCCCTTTATGGTTAGCCTCAACTGCATGGCCCACAACAGCCTTTATAGCAGGAGTTACCGGTGTACGGCCACGTGGAGGCCTGTCAGGTGTGGAAGACCTTGTACACCTTGGCTTAAGAATTTTTTTTTAATTTTTTAATTTTTTTAGAATAAGAAAATTTTTTTCCTTTTTAATTTTATTTTTGGAACTCTTAAGAAATGTTTTTATATTTTTTAATTTTTTTTGGTATAAGAATTTTTTTTGTATTTTTATTTTTTAAAATTATTTACACTATTTACAAGTATTCCTACCGCCATCGGCGACCGAGAGGCTTATGATCAAGTAAACATACGCCATAGGCGTCTTAGAGGCTAAGAAGAAGAGTAACTATACGCCATAGGCGTTTGTAAAGCATAAATTGGCGAAGGCTCAGAACATAAATGTCCAGGCCAGTGTCATAGCGTTGTGTAATTAATCATGTCCGTGTGTAATTCATGTCCGTGTTTTCATTAAGGCATTAGAAGAATTCTAAGCCATCGGCGACAACATTCTTTATCATTTTATTCTTTGTTTTTTCCTTTTCAGTGACGTGTGGTGCAAAGACTTTGAAAGAATCAGCGGTACGAACTCTCGAAAGAGCTGTATAAAGATTTCCATGACCAAACACTTGATGTGTAAGGTCGAGTCCGACTCGTGTTGCAGTCTGGCCTTGGGCCTTCATGATCGTCATTGCGTATGCAAGACGAACTGGAAACTGCAACCGTCTGAACTTAACTCCATCTGGTTCTTTGTCTTCATAATCACACCATACACGTGAAAGGCATATAATATTGCCGGATCCAGCCACAGAACCGGTTACAACCTCAACCTTCAAAATATTATCTCCTAATTCCTTTACAATCATTCTTGTCCCATTGACAAGCCCTCTACTAACTCCCAAATTCTTTAAAAGAATTACAATGCAACCTTCTTTAAGGTGTAACCGGTGTGGTGGTATTGAAGCAGGATTTAGTAAATTCAAAGCTTCAATATCGTTCTCGCATTCATCAATATCCATTGGCGATTCGTCAACGATCGATTCGTCCGTTGATAAATAAATCTTTTCCTTGGTCGTAATCTTTTTCAGCATGTCTTCATTAATCACATTCACTGTGTCATTATGTGGCGCTAAGATCAGTCTGTTAATGAGCTCTTTCGGATTCGAAAGAGCTTGGCCGTTGTCAGTGACAAAATTCATCAACTCTTGGCGCGAACCCACAATATTTCTACTTTCTATCTCCACTTCCTTATTTACTTTTCCGTTTAATTTGCCGATTCCAATTGTACGCAGCCAATCAGTGAATTGAATTTCATTCTGTCCCTGACGCATATTAATGTTCAGCGTTATAATGTTCTGTCTAAAGAGCGGCCACAAATGTGAAGACTGTATACAGGCGTTGACTTGATCTCGCATACCACCTCCAGCAACCACAGGAAGTGATTGCTTGAAGTCTCCGCTGAGGATTATAACCTTTCCGCCGAATGGAATATGTTTCATTTCTGGTGGGCACATTTGTTTACAGACCCGATCAATTGCCTCCAACATATGCTTAGGAAGCATAGAAACTTCATCTATAATTATAACTTGGCTGTCTCTGATTCGCCTTCCGTGATAGCTTTGCATTGACACTGACGGGGTGTAATTTTCATCAATGTTTATTCCAAACCTAAATACCGAATGAACGGTAGCACCACCAGTCAAAAGTGTCGCTGCGCAGCCTGTATAAGCCGAAGCAATTACACGGATGCGCATGTCTCTTAGACGCGAAATTACTGCGTTAAACAAATAAGTCTTTCCAGTTCCACCATCTCCTGTTACAAAGATGGTGTTGAATGAAGTTCCGTTGATAGCATTTTGAACGGAAGTCCAAACATTTTCTTGGTCGTCATTGAGCTTTATCGGTGGCTTGTTACCGCTTGCAAAGTCATCTTCATCTTTGTCTCCAAAGAAGAAGTTATCAAGTGCGTCGTCAACGTCTTGTCGCATCCCGGGGGATGGAGAATCCAGTCCAAATTGTTGGTTTGTCATTCCATAGTCCGAGAGTTGTGCTTCTATGATGGCCAATACCCGATCAATACGTCTGTTTCTTTCAATCCCGTTTGGATCATTGCCTATTATTGGCTTGAACATGTGATCCACAAATCTTTCCCATAATTCGCGAGCATTGCTCGGATTTCCAAAGACCAAAACCTGTACAAACAGGTATCGCATTGCACTGGCTGTGCTGAAATGCGAGGCCTCCTCCAAAGTCCTTTCCCATACAGAATCGTCAGAAAGCAGACCTCTCAATCTGGCAGACTCAACAAAAGTTGTGCACATTACTCCGTTAACGTCCTTTAATGCCTCGGGATCGCCAGGAAAATGGCGGAGAAGTAGGTACAGTGCAAACCTCTCTTGATCCCGAGGAGATGGCCTTGGATGGATTAGTCCAATTACATCTCGATTATTAATTCTTTTTTTCCACATTTTGTCATGCTTATCAAACCAATAATTTTCTGGCATATGTTCGTAAAGCGTAGTCGTTATTGAAGCATCATCTTCAAGTTTCCATTTCTTATTAATATATTGCCACGACTTTCCTTCTCGCCATTGAGACCAGTACTCCGTGAGCATGGTTTTAGGTAAATTTTTTGGTAGTCCAGCAGCAACTGCTGCAGCTTGACTTTGCTTAAAAACAACATTTTGATGACCTGGCAAGTGTATTTCCATGTCATAAACTGTGTTGGAAAGTCGTACGTAAGGCATTGAATGGATTCTTGCATATGCTTCATTAGCAGAGCGATAGTACATCTGAGCATAATGCGCAGGCTCGTCAATATCGACCATGTCACCTTGGACTTGGATGTATTGAAAGGTGGGTCCCTTTAATGGGTACTTCATAGTATATTTCATATTGGTTTTTTCACCGTAGCAATATGCTACATTATGGTGTGTTTTATATTTCAGTAGGATAAACGGATTGTACGGCGTCACGTGAGCATTGGTATACTCAGTGAGCACCCCACCCTTCGGTATCAATACTTTTTCACCCCCATCCTCGGGACTTGGTCGATAATGGACGGC